TCTCTAAAAATACAATTTTTCAACACTTCTGCAAGTTTAAACAATTGCATGACTTTTGACTAAAAAGGTCTGTACACTCTCTGTCTGAGTTTATACTGCACCAGGGATATACAGCACACTAAGTACTGCTGTCCTTATACTGAACTTAATCTATTCACATCCTCTAACTCCTTCAGTCAAAAGATATTACAGAAACATTTTGACATTTTGACAGGATGTTGGCAGTATAAGATGACATACAATAAGCATCTTGTAGAGAGATACTTGTGCAATGGTAATAATACTTTGTCTCATTTTGTCTTTAAGCTAGTTATGGGAAGGGGGGTATTCTTAGCTTATAACAAAGAACTGAAAACCAAATTCTACAGAACTTAATAATTATAGTCTACCACTATTAGGTTTTCTACTTCTACTACTATTTGTAATAAAATAAAGAAATATATCAAATCTAAACACATGTGTATAACCTATTAGATTCCCACCATAACTTTTTTTCTTGTGTTTTTTCAACAAAACACAAAGCTACAGTACTGGCCATCATATACATCTTCTTACAACACAACGCAAAGTACAAACTCTCACACCTTACAGAGTGTTATTGGATGCTGGTCCAATCAGAGACAGAACATGATACATTTTCAGCAAGAGAAAAACATGGAAAGCTCATTAAATGTCCTCAAAGAACAATCAAGACTTTAAAGTTAAGTTAACATTATCTTTCATATCACATTTTCTATAAACCAGATGAAAAGTAAATATGCATTAACCCATTGCTGCCGGGGAAAATGAACAAAAAATGGGGGAAATGCTGTGCCTATTTTCTATATTTTTTTATGAAATGTCTGCCCATAGATGGCTCTCTTAGCGCCTGATTTGAAATAGCCGATAAAACGTATTTTTCACTAGTGCCATGAATATCGATGGTGTTATTTTTATTATAAACATTATAATTTTTATAATGTTTTTCAACATTAGTAACAGCAAAACAAGATAACGTAAAATATTTCATAAATCAAAGAAAAGGGTGAACGGGCGAGACAGGCGGTACTCGTAACTGGCTCATTGGTGATTTAGTACAAGCGTAGCCATCTATGTGTGAAAACAATCCAACAAGTAATCTCACAGTGGGAATGGCATGGCATGTCCGTCGGCAATGGGTTAAAACATATCTAAAAAGAGCATATTTTAAAGCAATACATTTTCTAATATTCTTCCTTCTCATAAAAATGATTATTTCAATGCTGAAGACTTCCCCAAAATTATGTTAAATGATTATTCCAAATCTAAAAGTAAAATCTATCCACTTGCATGCATTTACACTACTTGTAATTCTATAACATCATTATCTTTTCACTCATACAAGTGGAAATGCACAAACATGCACATGCACAAGCTTTGACAGACAAGTGTTTTCACATCCAAATTGTGTACACTGTATCAACCACTGTTCTTGTTAAGCAACCATCATACAAACCTTTTCATGGACATTCTTTTTATTCAACTATCACAGTACCACTTTTTGAAATATCATGAGTATGATAAGGAAACCACGAGCTAGTGCTTCCCTGGGACTCAGTAATAAATCAAATTGTAAAATACTATCTACAGAATCATATCAGTTCATGTGCTTCAAATAAATAAAGTTCAACATCTTCATAGCAATGACAAAACAGTAATAACAAAACATTCTAGTCTAAATCCAAATTTCATGTACTTAGAGAATGACCATTAACCACATATTTGTTATCTAAAATGTAAATAAATTACATGAAAGTGGAAAAAGTTTAACAAAAGGACAAATGAACTGATACTTACAATCTAAAACAACACCCCTTCAGTAACAACAAATATATATCTATATCTATATATCTATATCTATATCTATATCTATATCTATATCTATATCTATATCTATATCTATATCTATATCTATATCTATATCTACATCTATATCTATATCTATATCTATATCTATATCTATCTATATACATATATATATATATATATATATATATATATATATATATATATATATATATATATATATATATATATATATATATACACACATACACTATTCTACCTCTATTTACATGTTTATCTATCAATTTATCTGCCCACAAATATTCTATATTTGTAATGAATTAAAAATATTGTAAATAAAGTTAATACAGCAAATGGCTCAAATTCATATTTAATGCTTTATACTAAACATGAAGAAATACTTCCCTGTAACCTTTTAAATTCCTGTAAAACAGTTTAAGAGGGTTTAAAAGTACATCCTACTAGGCTACCTAAGAAACCATAAAAATATCAATATGTACTTCCTTTACTTTTACGTTCCAGGTTTATTCTAACAAGTGCACCCATTTTCTTTACATACACGCTAACACTAAGAAAACACTTTTAGGCCCTAACTACCTCTTCTAGGCAATAGCATTAAATAAATCAATAATGTGAACATGTCTATGAAGACTGAGAAGAAAAAGTCTGTAATCTGATAAAAGTTCACAAAAGGCTAAAGAAATAAACCTATCAATTCAAACTAGGTATATACGAGAAAAATTTTCTATCTATATTGTACACCACTTATTTCATAAGGCCTACAATAGCATATTAAACTTCTAAATGAAACAGACTAGGGGAGGCTGAGGGGTGATTGTCTACATGTAATATAATATCCATGAACAACCAAAAAACGACAATAAAATTAAATTCATTGAAAACTAGATACCCAAACACAAAAAAAAAAATCCATAACAAAACTCATCACCCAAGGAAACAACTTGCTTGTAAACATATTGAGTATATTTCAAACCAGACTAGGAAACTATTAATGCATAATGTACAAGTATATATACACACAAAAAACACATATATATCCTTAAGACAAAATAAATAAAAATCAACACCTTTATAAGCAGCCTGAAGGAAGTGCAGTGCTTCCCAGAAGGTAAAGTGGAAAGTCTGTAGCAGATCAGGCCAGAGCACCATTCACATTACTGCCGTCCACATCTGCAAAGGGAAGTAAAAGCTTATTTCTTGTTATCTTTCCACAAATGATATACAGATCGCTTTAATAGGAGTCAATAAACAAACCGTAATCATAACTCTCACCTGAGCTTTGGCTAAACTGAATAAGTCACTGTGGTGTTATCAAACAGTAAAATCAATTAACACATAATAAAACTAGACCAAGTCAGTGTGTATCATTGTTAGAAACTATTAGAAACTGGATGGGTATATTTTGAGAAAACTAATATATTATAAAATCAGTCAGCTTATGCAAAAATGGGTCAAATCAGCTGTAAAACTAAGAAATTATCTGCCTGTGCTTACTTCACTCCTTATCCTTATCATTATCATCACTATTATCTTCAGCAATATTTTCATTATCAAGTGGGTGAAGCTAATAAAACTCCAAAGTAACAAAAAATTAATCCTTATACAGTCTCTCCACACTTCATGCTACCTAATACCTTCTTTACCTAATCCTCTTTGCCCCTTTCTTTGACTATAGGCAAAACAAGTTTCATGAAAGATGAGACAACAGTTTTGAAATCCTCTTAGATTTCTCTTTCATGTCTGGAAATAAAACCCAGGAGAATTTCAAAAGTTTTCTTCTCTTTTTATAAATATATTTATATGTTTTGATTGCTTGCCATTGGATTTTTCTAACTGCTTTATTGTACTACTTAGGGATTGATCTAAGAATTATATAGATTACATCTATTACTTGCAATATTCATAAAATGTTTCCTTTACTATTAAAAATTAAATTAAATTAAAAACATATATCAAACAACACTGATAAGATAAAGTCAGCATATCAAATATAATGCACATAAGAATCTTTATGAAAATTTTGGAATTATTTTCATCTTCACAGAAAATTGAACAAGTCATATCATAGAGATAAATAAACAAAGACTAGTTACTCCTAAACACTGTATTCATCATCCTTATCTAAACATTATCTGCCAACCTAAAGCCATTGAAGATGTCTAGAATTACAAAGAAAATACACAGACACTCACACACTCACTCTCACACACACATGGAGTCATGTGCGCTATACTTAATGAATACATAACCATCTGAAATAAACATAAGGACATTAATGTTTGCTAAACCTGGCTTCAGCTGAAAAGCACTCTTCTGCATTTGAGATACAAGGTAATGTCTATGGACCATAACTTTGCTTTCTATAACTTACTTCATTCTCTTTGTAACAGGTCTATTCCATAATCATGGGCTCTACATATGAAACCTAAGCCAGTAATTCCAGAGAAAATCTGCATATATAAGACCATGAATTTGGTCTTAATGAAATGTTAATGATATCTACTGATCAGATATGCCACTATTAGTTTTAGTTAACAAACCAAATATGTTGATGTTTATTAAGGCTTAACACCTTGCCTCTCTAATTACTGCCATTACTGTTGCAATCTTTGTTTCTGTATATGGTCAGCATAATCTAATCCATCAATTCCAAATTAGTTAGTATCAGTGATATACAGCTTGTCTGGCTCATAAGAGGCATTAAGACTATCTCATTTGCTGGGACCAGGTTTTGCGACATGATTAAGAATTACCTCAGTTAAATTTATGCAAAGATGGAAGATGTCCTCCATTGGAAATGGGTTAATCAAAAGAAAAACATTATTTTTACTCTTATATCTACATATCTAATATCAAACACTAGAGGAAAGAATATTGGGAGTTTTTGATAAACTTGAGTGCCTTTATAAACCTATTAGATATAAACTTTGATTAGATCCAAAAGAAAGTTGTGTAAATATATCCTTCTTGTAACATTCTCCTAACAAGCCAGTTAACAGCACATCAGATGTCATCTACCTTACATTACAAGAAATTAAGAATTAAAAAATGTTTACCATATTAAATAAATAATTTGTTTATTGATCCTCATATTTGTTTAAAATAAGAAAGCAATGCAGAAAATTAAAAAATGAAGATCATAACTTATAATGGAA